AAAAAAAGGGGGGGGGGGGCAGGATATTTAAAAGATAATGAAAACTATAAAATCAAAAGCAGATTTTAGATGGAAAATCATGTTGTAGAAGCCTCTAATATAAAATTAATTTAGCATTCTCCTGAGATTAAGTAATTAATGTTTCAGGAAAAACGAAGATCCTCCAAATTTATAGCCAGGTCCTGTTTTTACCAGATAGTTGCTGTTCTTCCTTTTTCCCCTCCCGATTCCCAGGAATGTACACAGGAGTTATAATAGGTACTTAATTTCTGTTGTGAATCTCGCTGTAGGAGGTTTTACCAATACCAACTTGATCTTCTCTTCTAATATACTTCTTGGAAGAGAAAATAAAAAAATGCTGAAGTATCACAAATACCAAACAGAGAAAAATTGGCACGATAACATTTTACTTTTGAAAATAAACACCTAGCCACGGGTGACAAGTTTAAAATTGAGCAAGTCAGTCTCACAGATTTCAGATCCTCTAATTCATTCTGGTGTTTCCATGCATTATTTAAAAGTAGGGCATGACTCAGGATAGTTTGAAAGATTTGTCTTTGTTTTGAATTGCAATGCCTGTACTGGATGAACTATTTATATGTGTTTCCTGTGTTAAGGAACTGAAGAAAGTAACTACAGACTTGATAAGGTCCAAGGTCACATCTCAGTACAGGGTGGCAGAAGAAAACATCAATCTTGCAGCAAGGGAAAACCAGTTTCAACAACTGCAACAGAAAATCAGAATGGTATTTTGGAATTTAAACAAATTATTTTTGTTTGGTGAATATTTTCTGTTCTTCCCTAAGCGAACATCATAGTAGCGCTCTCTCTGATGTACATAGATTAAGTGATTCCTTTCTACTAACTGCGTAGACAATATAACAAAATATTTCCAGAACAACATTTTTTGGGGAAGCAATCATGCTATAAATATAACTTTAGAGTTTGCAAAAATCAATTAGACTCTTCAAAATAATTCAGTTTCTTTAAATAGTTTCATGATGGTTAACAATATCATGTTAATACACTATTACTAAAGAAAAGAGTAATTTGAAATGCCTCTTACTCTTCTTCATGCTCTTTTTTTTAAGGAGACAGAAGTTAGTAAAAAAATTCAGGAAGAAAACACTCACATTAAAGAAGAAAAGCTGGTGAGTTAATACAACTTTGCTATTGAAAAACCACTTAGGAATATATGTATTATATTTCATAATCAAGTTTCTTAAATTCTTATACAAAGCTACTAAAACTAATTAACTTTTTGACTCTTTGGAAATATTTTAATGACATAAATTGAATCTTACTTCTCAGTTTTTATAAAACGTTTTATCAGAACAAAGTCCATTGTTTCACAATTTATTCCAAGTCTTAAATTTTGTTTTTAAAATCAGATGGGAGAAATTTGGTATACCCATGAAATAGTTGTTTACATACGGGTTCAGTGCAAATAAACAAGAATGGTTGAATAACATCCTTGCTGTTCTGCTTTCTGGTTGCCAACAGTTTAATACTGCTGGCTTTGAAACCAGGTAAAATTGGAATCGTGTATCAATCGTATACAAAGGAAATGTGTTGCATTCATGAGAACATACACTTCTAGAATATTAAGCTACATATGTATGTATATAGCTGAACAGAGTTAAGACTGTCTTCTGTCACGAATTCAGGTATGTTCCAGAGCAAATCGTTGTATTCAAACCAAGGTACATGGAGTCCAGTATCAAACATGATTTAAAAAAAATAAAAAAAGTTTCCTGTAGTAACAGCATAATACACTGTTTTGCAGAATATTAGGCATAAAAAGGGTGATTAATCACAGAATCAAGGATCACCTGGTCCAGTCTTTCTTGGCAAAAGCACTCGGTTGTGTTTTTTTCTGAAACAGTTGGAGCATTTTCATTCTGCAGTGCATTAAACCAAACATACCAGAGAAGCGTATTGTTCCTGTTCTCAGGGAGGGACAGAAGCAGTCGGTTATTAGTGTACCCACTGAGCGCTCACTAAAGGCTAATCCAGCAGTGCTCTTCCAATCTGTATAAGCCTGTTTGCATTTTGAATTTGCTTTTTGAAAATATTTGCCAATAAACATGGAGGAAACATGAGAGAGATTCAGGCCTCATTACTCCCACAGCCCTGAATGCACTAAAAGCCTTTTTATGGAGATGCTTGTAGAAAATTCATATGCATGTTTGATATGTATTATCTAAGGGAAGGTCTCTATTTTGTTTCTCTATTTTGTTCTGTGGGAATTGCTAGGGGTTGGTTGGTTTTAACGTACGTAGGGTTTTGTTATAAATCTGGGGAGGGCCCTAATATAGTGATGAATTTCTTGTTTTCTCCAAGAACCTGGGCTAGAAGACCTGGATTTCTATATTAGAGTGCTACAAATTCACTACCTGGATTAACTGAAGGCATTGTTTTCAGTGGTTCTTGGACTGAGGCTGAACCTACTATTTAAATTATAGCGGATTTACACTGAGCTGTATGTAGAGAAGCAATCAATTCTAGTCTGGTGAACACTGCACTAGGTTTAAAAGACACAACCAACTCTCACACGGACCTGTCAGATGACACTGGACGAGCTGTTCCATGTCTTTGTGGTTGTTTTCTAGATGTAAAATGGAACTAAAGATAAATTAAGCTTCAGTGCAAAAACATTATTTATTTCTACATACATATACAAGCATGAAAGGGAATGATCTTTATTTTTAGTAGACAGCTGTATCTGTGCACACAGTAGAACTGGAGATAGATAAATTGGAAAACTCTTTGCAAGTATATGAAAGTACTTTTGTTTAATAGTATGTTCCACTCTCACTATATTTTGAAGCAACTGAGCACGTTTGAGACTGTCTTCTGCCTGAAACTCAGTTGTTTTCTCTGCAGGCCTTCTTTTAGTAGTTCCTGTTCTGATTGTTAGGGAGTAGAGGTTGACTTGGCTAGATTGTTCCCTCCATCTTTGAATGTCTGCACATATGTTTTGTAGTGTTTAATGTAGAATTACTCTCTGTCTCCATTCCATCCATTTTATAAGAAAATTCTCTGAAAAAGAGTAAGTTATAATAATGTTACCTTCTCCAAGGCCAGAAAACCTCAAGTTGCTCTGATTTTTTCCTATTAGCCCTTCCCCAACACTGGCAGAATAAAAAATAAATGATAATCCAAAAGACATAAATGATCTAATTCTTAAACTTAGGAAACAAAGTCTCATTCAAAATGTCCTAATTTGTTTGTATTAATAAGGAAATTCTCAGCTCTCTACAATGTGTGCAGGAGGTGCTTCAGCGAATAACACAAACGAATGCGAGAATGGAAAGTGAATTAAATGCACTGAAAGAAGAATATAAGGTCAGATTTTTCTTGATTAGACAAGCTGCTATTTTTAAGTCCAGGGCTGTTAAAGACATCTGTATGCTTTTCAGAACTTTTGACCTCACTTCCATTGCTCCCTCAGCTCCTCAACTGTCAGCACGAACCTTGAAGTGCAGGCTATAGTTTCCCTCTGTTAGTGTTCTGCCCCTAAAGTAAATCATGGTTGCCATTCTTATCAGCCATTTCTGGAGGGTAAAACCAGAACATATTGGGGGTTGCTTTCAAGTGTTTTGAAATCAAATGATTTTGACTTTTGTTTCTTGTAATTTTCATGTAGGTATGAATTTATTTTCTGGAAAATACTTTAAATTTCAGATTTTCTTCAGCGTTTGTCCCCAGTTTTATTAGAGCAGAGGGCCTAAGAAAGCCATTTCATGCTCTGTTTTCTGGTGTCACATTTATGCTAGAGGTGGTAAGTAGTCATGCTGAAGGATCTGGAGTTGCAGCACTCCTCAGTTTTTCTTTAGGGGTGTAAAAGTGGCTCAGAACAGTTTTGGTTCTAAATTACACCAGCAGCCAGACCGGCCCACAGTGCACTGAAGATTAAGGTCATGTCTGTTCTGGTCAGATGTGCCATGCAGAGTTCAGCTACAACCATTCATCGGACGATTAATAATTATTATCTACTGTTTGTCCATACATAACCAGAACTATTTCATTCTTTACTTGGCCTGTGAGGTCAGTGTTTGGAACTAGCATTTCAGCTAATTTCAAATTAAACTTCCTTGTGCACGTATACTTTGTTTCTAAGTAAATGCTTCTATGCTAAACTGAAAATAGATTCGCTTCACATAAGCCTTTGTCTTTTAATAGATGTAGGCAGTTTGAGCTATTATTTCCCATCTCAGATAAACTTTATAGTATGCCTTAAAGCTCCAGCTCAAACTGTAAATGGCATCTGTGGATCTTGTCTTTGAAGACTACACATAAATGTCTACAAGCGTAAGAGAGGTATAGCTTGTTTTCTTGTTGTTAAGGTATGGATTGTGTACAAGTCTCTCTTTTGCAGGCTGTACAGGCCGACAGTGGATTTCTGATGGCAGTTAGACTAATTCTGATTAGATGGCCTGCTTTGATTTGGGTCCTGCTTATATTAGACATTGGGAAGGTATTAATGTTTTCTAATTTTTCTAACTGCAGGACAAACTATTTGTAGTCATCAAAGCTTCAGTGCAGTCCTCCAACATAACTTCTTGCAGGCATGAATATTTCAGATTAAATTGGTTTTACAAGACATGGGTTTCTATAAGAGGCTCTTGATTTAATATTTGAAAGCTTTGTTGACTACACGAGGACTTCTCAATACTTAATTTGATGTAAATGTTCCTTCTTAGTCTTCACCGTGGAACTTAAGATCAGCTAAGATCTGATCTCAGCTAGAGCATTCTGTGCATTCTCAAGACCAAGACGTTCTTACTTGAGAATGGGAATTAAGGATTTATAACATTTATATAAGCAGATATGAGCGATAAACTTTCAAGAGATCACATCTGGAAACAAGTGCTTAGACATTTTAATAGAAGTGTTTTTTCTGTAAACCCAATAAATACATGATAAAATGCAGCGATTTCCTTTAAACAGTTTGATGTAAATACAATGCAATATTAAAAGTGAATGACACATGTTCTTTCCATATGAGCTTATGGGGTTATTTTGATTTGTCAGAAATGCTCATCTTTTTGTTTAAGCACTAGTCATAAAATACCGTTGCTTTTTATAGCTACTCATTTGGCTGACAGGTCGATATGCTTACCGGGATATTCCAAGGGAATGAGACATTAACTGCTTATTTTGCAGTGTCATTTTTTTAAAGCAACAAATGGAACTTATAAAATATGATGAATATATAACTTGAAGGGTCTACTCACTTTCCTGCCAATTTGAGAGCTATTGCTTTTGCCTTTATTTATTCTAGAACCGCAGTGTGATGCATGGGATCTGAAGGTTATGTATTATCCTTATGCTGTATCCTACATCCCTGTTAAATTTGTGGACCTTGCTCATTAAGGAGAAGTTTCCTCAGAATAATGGAAAACTGGAAGGAGTGATTGTATAGTCCCATGGAAATATTTTTATTCTTATACTCACAAAAAATTACTGTGTAATTTAGGCTTGAGATGACAGAATACTTAAACTTCCAAGGTAACATTCAGGAATGATCATCCTCTTCTCTCTCAGTCTGTCTATGCATACTTAATGCTAGGATACCAATGCCCTTAGCAGTTCAGAAAAACAACTGACAATTCTTTAGTAGATGATAGAATGCAAAGAATTCAGGTGTTCCCCTTGCTGTACAATTGGCTTGCATGTATGATCAGTTCTACTCCTCTGCAACTCCTGATGCTTTGCCTGAAGAGCAAGGTATCTATTACATTCCATCTCGGAGGAGGTTGCATTTGGGCTACAAATAAAAGCATCCTTGAAGTCAGAGCAGCTTTATCAGAGGGTGGAGGTCTTGGACTCCTCATTTATAGAACTGGATGAAAGGTGCTACATCAGAGTGTGATTATTCAGTTGATGACAATTCAATGTACTGTTGAATCGTCTCATCTTTTAAATAATATAATCTGTCAGGCAAGATCCATTATATTCTTCTGCGCAACTTTTTCCACGTGTATAAAAATGCAAGGTAGTCTGCATTTTCCTAGCATTAATACCTGCAAAATATATTTGTGTTAATATTGAGGTTACATTAACGTAGGCATTTTAAAATTGATGCTAAGTGAATCAAGAAGTAGACTCATTTTTACTTAAAAGATTAAGAAAAAATGAATTGCTTTGGAGTACTGCCTTCCTAACTTGACATTTTTCAAGTGGACTTTCAAAGCAGCTCAGCAGTCATAAATATGTAGCTGGTCATACAGCTGCATGTATTAAAGTTATGTTTACATTATCAAATATATTTGTGCCATCTATATAGTAGATAATGGATTCAGCAAGTCCTTTATCTTCCATATTGTTTACTATAAAAATGTGATAGGATAAAAATTCCAACAGTACCTGAGATGTGTGTGAAGTTATTGTTGATTTACAGAAGGCTGCTTTGATTTAGCACAGTCAAGCTGAAAGAGTTAACTAAAAAATGTTGCAAGTACAATTATGATAGTATTAAACTTAATATTACTGTTGTTTTAATACACTCCTATTTCAGTGATCTAATAAAAATAAATTAAAGGATAATCAGACATATACTTCATGTTCCAGGAGACATGTTTTAGAATTTAAAGCTTATACAGTTTAGAAGATAGGTTAATAAACAATCTAGGATAGAAAAACTGATCAGAAAAATAAAAATATTTTCTGTGAATATAGAGTAGTTTTTTCTTTAAGTACAATGGGTCTAGATTGTGCTACATTTCATATTTCTCATCTCTGGACTTTATATTACTTTTTCAGCACATTAAAACTTATGCAGTGAAACTGAATAATGGCAAGTGTTTTTATACCCTTTTATAGCCATTTCTTTTTTCATAACCTCCCCCTGTTTCCTGTTAGCTAAACTATAAGCACCTTTCTGTTAATTTATGAAAATTATTGTTGAGATAGCACATTATCACTGATCTGTATGGCGCTTCCAGCATGTTAGAAGCAAAGGTCCAAGCAACATAAAACACATCAAAATTCATTAATGTGGTATTGATTATTTTTTGGATAATTAATTTTATTGCAGACCCTTGAAAGAGATAATGAGCTGCAAAGGGAGAAGGCAAAGGAAAATGAAGAAAAGTTCCTTAATCTTCAGAATGAGCATGAGAAAGCACTAAGAACTTGGAAAAAAGATGTAGGTTTATTAAATTAAATATTAGAATATTAAGAGATTTTTGAAATAGTCATCAAGCATTTCAGGTAATTCCTAAAAGCCAAGAATATGTTGCAGAAATAATACAATAAAAACAACTAGTTCTTTTCCAGCAATGCAGACTCTTCTAAAAATGAATGTATTTTTTTTAAAGGTAGATGTAGGAGAAATGTTGACTTCTGTACTTTAAAAGGTCAATGCGCTTCCTGCAGTCTATAAAGCAAGAGCCAGGGTATTAGGTGTTACCTTGAATTTAGCACTTAAATATTCCAGAATTGCACACTTGCCATTACCTAGACATGGAAGCTGACACGGATTTTAATTTACATTGGATTTTATGTATTTTTCAGGAAACCTGCAATTTTTTACACAACTTATTCGGAGAATACCAGCACACCAGGTTGCACTCTTGTACCCTGAAAAGCTGTAAACAGTCTTATAGTAAAAAATGAATGTAAACCCATATAGACTGACACAGGCTAAAGGTACTCCTGAAGGGCCATATGCCTAGGAAAAAAAACATGAAAGAACCACCTCAAAATGAATAGGGTAGAGATAATGAAGGCTTGCATTAAAGCAGAGGCCCTGACTTGACAGGAATTATTCAATGTGGACTGTGGGGTGGAATGGGATAAGAAAAGCTAAAATCCCGTATGTCCCAGTGACTTCACCTCTGTGGTCACCTAAACAATAATTTGTCTTCAAGATTTGCTTTTTGTTCTTCTACTACATTACTTCTAAAGAGTACTGCAGTAATTATTTAATCCAAAATAATTAGCAAAATATTGTAGCTGTAAAAACTGTCTGATATAATAATTTCATGTTTACAAGTAAGACTAACTTTTTCAGGAAGATCTACTTAGTGTATGGAAACCAGACTTTAAACAGCATTTGTTTAATAGTCTCTTTTTTAATCTCTGTGTAATTGGCACCTACTGCCAGAAAGGTTTTGAATTTGGTAGGTAGAGTCTCAGGGAGGCTGTGGGGAAATAATGCGAATTTGTCCTTGTAATCCTAAAACTAGCTCTTTTGAGTGCAGCTGCTGTGGAGATGGCTGCAGCCAGACTACAAAATAGCTGAACTGTTCCGATGCTCACTGCCCTGGGAAGAGTTGATCTCCCAGGTTCCTGGGAGAGTCTTATACCATAGTTTCCTGTATGGACATGGGAATTGGCCCTGCTTGTTTCTCAGGAATGTTTGCAACTATTCTTTCAAAGGTTTACTTATTCCCCCCAACCTCCATATTTCTGCTATGGCTAACTAGAAGTTCAGTCTCTTACTACCTTCAAGTATAGTGTCATCATGGCTTACATTGCACACTGCTCCGGAAATATTTGTGAATAAAGTGAAGATATTTCCATAAGATTGCCCTTCCATTCTTTTACCACAACTTTTATTTTTGACCATCCTTTTTTTACTAAGTACAAAAATTTGATTGTTAAGTAGTCAGTGAAGGGGCACTGGATACTTGAGGCTATTTACAGAAGTGCCACGTAGATTATTTACTGTTACAGCTTTTCGACGATGTAGGTAGAGACTGAATGTTGACGAGGATGTTTGTCTTTGAGCCAAAACCAAAAGAAAGCTACAAATACAAATCTCTCTTTTTTGAACATTGCTACTTGAAGTAAATGGTGGGAAAACCCCACATTAATAAAGGGATATTGTTTGTAGTGGAAATGTGGTTAAAATTTTGGTTTGAATGAAAGAGTTCAAAATTATCTTTGTACAAAGAAATTCCTTAGCATCTATACGTTCTTTTAAAGATTTACTTTAATTTGCTAAGCTGTTGATACGCCTGTAAAATACTGTTTTATATATTTGAAAATGCAGTGTAAGTTGTGTGTTTGTGTGCTCTGTGTACCCTCTTACTATAGGAGGAAAACATGAAAAAAGAAATAGACACTGTTAAAAATGAGCTGAATTCCCTTAAAGAAGTTCATAGATATCTTGAAGATTCTCATCCTCCTCAGGGAAATCAGCATTCTGAGCAAGTGGACAATCTGCAGGTGACTGTCTCTTATAGCTGCAGTACTTTCCATTTCTTGTAAAAGTATTAGACTTTTTTTTTCTAATCTGGCTGTCATGTTCACTGAGCTTCCTTTGACAAAGGTAATTATATATATTTTTATATATAGCAAAATTTAGCAAAGCTCTTTTTAGTAAAAAAGTTTAATAAAAGTTTAATAAAACCCCCAATCTTTATTTCATCTTCAAGAATTATCAAAGGCATAGCAAGCTCAACAAGGAATGAACGCAGGATGTAAAAACTGTGTGCAGTGCAGGTTGAACTAGAACTGAGCTTGCATTGCTGGGTGAACCAAAGCCATGCTCAGCTCTATATTCAGAGCATCCCTGAGAAGTCAACAAATGCACATGATGATGGTCTTTTGGAGCAAAAGGAAAGAGAGTGTAGCCTTGCAGCTATGTTACCCATTACTTAAACTGGATTGCAAATTACATTCCAGTCTTTTGTAAGATTGACAAAATGGGAAGCATCATAAGCCATATAACTTTCCCTGCTCATTGAGTGTATTCTGTTGTTCTGTTGGTTGTATCATTTTTTCCGTTAGTATTTACATCCAAATAATGAAGGGAAATTAGTTTTTACATCCAGATCATTTCACACGTATGTGATTTTGCTTCCAGTATTAGGAAAATAGGAAGACACTAGGACTATAAAGGCAGAATTTTTTCTTCTTTTTTTTTTTTTTTAGAACTGTCTATGAATTGTCAGTAAAATGACAAACCATAATATTTTAGAATTTGGAAGAACTTAAAATCAATTTCTTCACAATGCATGTATGTATGTTTATAGCTCATACACATATATATACATACATGAATATATGCATCAATATACACATATGCATATCTGCTGGTATGTGCTTAATAATGCAATGGAAATCAGTCTTGAAATGAGTACTCATCAGGCCAAAGAATGTCTGAACTCTACAAGGTATAATTGTAATTGTAAATTGTGTAACTTTTCAAAATCATCGTTTCTGTGAAGGAGAATGAAACACAAATTATGTTTAGGGTGCAGAATCAATACACACAATCAGTTGTTCGTGATAAACAGTACTTGTGCTTACTAAGGTAACACTGTATGTTTGAAAGTAGATAAGCTTAAAGCATATACTCATTAAATGCAAACAAAAAAATAAATCAGAGATGTCTTCTAAATATGTATCTTAGACTTTCTTATGGCAAATTGCCATTCCAATTTGTATGATTGTAAGATTTCAAAAGCTAGGCAGCTTAGACCAAGCCAAATCTCCAGTGGAACACTGCCAAGAAATTACAGGAGCTGTAGCAGGTCATATTGATTATTCTAATTTGTGGAATTTCACTTTGTATGAGTAATGAGTCAGTGTCTAGTAAAACACAAAAGGGGAAGGTGTTTGCTGTGCTGCAGATCTTGACTGTGGCTCCGTGTGTTGCAAGGAAATATGCCCATGTTTACTTTTATACCTAGTACAATCTGAAATCCCTGCGATTATTTGTGGCGCATGACATTTAGAATGTATGTGAACTTCCTTACACTGCTCACCTGCTCAGACCTCGTTACAGCCTCAGACTGCAATTTAGTTTCTCTACTATGTTTCACACTTAGTTTAATTTTTTAATAGAGCTGTGTACCATTAGAGAATAGGGCTACACCTAGCAATGGGCTATTGTCATTCTTTTGTGTGTGCATCTGCAGGGAGATCTGGTTTTGAGACAGTTCTGACTTTCATAGTATGAAACACTCTGTTGAGGGAAGTGTCATCTTAGGTTTATGTATGTTGCTTAGTTAGATTTTACTAAATCACGGGGCGGGGGGGATGAAAGAAAAGAAAATTCAAGCTTAATAGCTTTTATATAAAGGCAGTTTATGCACTGACCTATTTTTGAAGGGCTGAATAGCCATTTGAAGTTAATGGAAAATAGATTTATTCAACCCATCTGAAAATTTAGAAAGGAATCATGTCACCTCTCTTCCTTTCTAACAACACTTTTTCATGTTAGGTTTTTGGTTGGTTTTTTTTTCAGGTGCCTTCAGCAGTGCAGCCTGTACCAAGACATATGGTAAGTTCTGCTGTAGTAGCTGTTTTTTACCTGCATAAAAGAGTGGCATGCACAGTTATGCAGTTATATTGTGGTGTTTGGTGTTTCTGTCTAAAGAAACAGTTCCTAGAAGTAAGAGATTATAAAATAATTACAGTTTTCATGAAAGAGAAAGGAAAATGCTAGTATTTGTATTTGAAAAGAAAAGCTTGAAAATAGGACGTATATAGCCAAGAAGCAAAATGAACTCATTAAAAACTTAGAAAACAAAAAAGATGTAACGTATACAATTTCTAAATGAGAACATGAGGGAGGATGATGATAAATCATGCGGAAAAGAGAGAGAATTTTCAATTGAAACTTCCAATTGAAGTTGGAGTATTTGTCGGGGGAAAACTGTTTTTAGCTCCCTCCTTCACTCACCATGACTCCTCCCTCCCCCAAACCAGCAAAGCTGGGAACATGGGGATGTTTCTGTCACCTGTAGAAAACTGTTTCCTGCAGATTTGTATTCTACATCATCTACTATGCCACTAGTGCAATAATCCCATTTTTTTACCAGTATTGTCTACGTGCCTCCCTCCATTTTGCAGTATACTCTGTCCTTCACACACATCCAGTGCCCAAGCACAATGCTTGTAGCTCCCTCCCACATCCCAGTCTTCCTTTAGCAACCTGTCCAGTTACCGAAGTATCTTCAGCTTTTTCTCACATCCTTTATGGACTAAGCAATACCCCTGCTCTACCTGCTTTCATATTCTATCTTTAGGGCAAGAGCCAGCAATGCTCTTGCCTTCAGGTGCCAAAGAGTTGGTGATGATCAAGGATGCATCTTCCTTCCCTTTTTTTTTTCCCCAGGTATGTGTGGTTTTATTAGGGTGTTTCTTCACTATTCAGCTCCTACTTTTTACAGAACTTTATTGAATGCCACTTTCAAAACTAAAGACAAATACAGGAGTAGACTGTGACGTAAACCTTAAGTAGATGCATCTTTCAAGCTTATACTCCTGTTGAATATGACTCAATTTCAGGTTGAAAAGCCTTCTGGGAGGGAACAAGGAACTCGCTGACAAGAATTACAAATTCGTAAGGCTTATTTGCCATGAAATGTAGTTAAAAATCCTAGGTGGCTTGTTAGGAAAAAAAGCGTTAGTATGTGTGTAAGCACATGTGTTTGAGTGCAGAGAGCACTCGTGCAGGTTTTTTCCACATGTGATTACTGAGCAGGTCAGTAATTCAGCCATCACACTGAGGGAGTGATCCAGTCAGCACGCACACAACACACTTTCCTTCCTCGGAGAAATTCTGTCAATCTGTATAACTTTTCTCTGTGGACTGTACCATAGCAGGAACTAATTTCTTTCCTACTTTTCTAGTATATTAGCCTGGTTTGGGTTTTTTTCTTCATTTAGTGGAACTTGGTATACTTCAGGTGAGTGGTCTTTCTTTTCCATCAGAATTGTAAAAATAATTTTAAATCCAAATCCTGAAATTTAATCAATGACTCTAGTAAATTATTAAAATATGTATAATCTTTCATTCCTTCTTATGCTAGAGTGGTAAAGAACACTCAAAAGACAGCGAAATACAGCCTATTCAGAAAGACAATGAGTGTATGCAGTCTGTAATAAGACAAGACAGTAATTTTGGACATGAAGAAACTGAAGTAAACAGCACAATGGACTCCTCTTTAAGCACTGAGGAACTGCAGACAGAACAAAGTAATAGCATTACATGGATAATAGAGATAAGTAGTACTGTTGAAGAAAGGATAAATGTTTACAGACACAGCATATGACAAGAGAATGAATTAAGTGGTTTTGTACTAACAACGGTAAAATTCCTGGTGTTGGTAGTGCTAATCTATGCTCAACTCACAAAGCTCTAAATGAAAGCACAGTACTTCTAGTGGCTGCCTTGGAACTTTAAGTAAGATCTGTGTGCTGTAACCCCTCAAGCTATTGCAATACTCTTTCTGCATGCTAGTTCAGGAGACTAGAGATTAGGAATAACTGTAATGCTTTTCTGTACAAAGCACTTTGTAACTCCCAATTTTTTGAAGCCACCTAAAGGAAATGTACCTTGTCTCTAATGCTCAGTCTCTAAATGTAGCAAAGTTAAGTGGAAATTTAAAAGCTTATTAATGACATAGTGGCTACTTTAAAAGATCAGTGATCAGAGCCTCAGAGTGTATCTCTCAGAAAACACCTTTCTGATACTGAATGCTTGTTATTGCTCACTTGCCCACTACCATCGAGTCACAGCATATTCCTTTCGGTATGAACATAGTCCCTTTAACGGTGGTTTTGGTTTCCATTTAGCCAAAAATGCCACTTTCAAAAATAACGACAAATTGCAGTAGTAACCACTGGCTTAAACTTTGTGTAGACACACAATAGTTGATTAAGCCTGTGTGTTAATTTCATAATGAAGACCCCTTTCGCTAATAAGGCTGACAGATAAGAGTTGGGAAATAGTTAAACTGTAAGACATACCTAAAATCTGCAGAATGTTAATGTATTTTCTGTTTGAACAGTTTTTAAGTATTTTCCAAGTTACTTATCTTCAGCAACTTTTTTGATAGACTTGTGTGTGTAACATAAGATAAAAAGGATCAATATTGATACTGATCTTGAGTCCATCTCTTTGGAAATCATAAACCGTAAAAATAAAGCATCACTTAACCTCTGTGTTATCTATCACTAACTAGAGAATGCACTTACTCTAACAGATTTACAAGTTCTTGAAAACAGCTTTAAGGATGAAATTAATGTTGCTAGCCCTCATGAAGAAAAGCAAAGGGAGGCTTCTCCCAGGAATACCCTCTGCACAGATACTGATTTAATTACCCAAGGACAGACCTCAGAAATACATGTCACTGAGCACAAAGAAGCAGAAAATCTGGAAGCAACATGTAGAATGTTCCTGGATGAAAACAGTGCACATTTAGAACAGAAGCTCCAGGACAGCACGGAGCCAGTGGCAGCATGCCACATGCAAACAACAAAAGTCATTTTAGACAGTGCTGATGCTGTAGGAGCCTGCAGAGAAAATGGAAGTCGGGAGACTGACTCTAGCAAGCAAGAATTGTGCAATAGTACAGATGAATCAATTTGTACTAAGACACATAAAAAATCAAATGCTGTACAAAACAACAAAAGCACCCTTACACCTGAAGCACCTGAAACTGAGTCTGAAGCAGTTCTTTGCACTAGGAATGCTGTGTATGAGAGAAGTACGGATAATCATCAAGCTAAGGAATTAAGTTTTGGTATCCCATCTTATCTTAAAGAAAATTCTCAAACTGAATACCAGAAATCTAGGTCGCTGGACAGTGACAATCATGTAGGCAGTGGACTACATCAAACAGAAAAAGTCTTGTTAAATCCAAGTGGTTTGTGTATAGATAAACCTTCTTTTAAACAGACACACGTAGATGCAGAAGAAAAGAATTATGAAGACAATACCAGAAACAAAACTAGGAATGGTACACTGTGGAGTCCTGATGTACCAGCAGCTGGTGCTCAGAATATCCCAACTGTTTATTGTGACAATGCAAGCGGTGATGATGCCACAAAAGAACGCAGTAATAACACGTTTCTCTTACGTACTTTCAATTTATGCCTCCCAAAAATAGAAAGAGGGATAAATGTGGATGACACGCGCAGCAAGCAACCTGAACAAGACAGAACTGAACAAACAGGGAATGCTACAAATACGTGTTCTTTGAACGCTGAAGCCATATCTCCAGTAAAGGCTGATGGTCTTGAAATAATTGCTCATAAAAAAACCCCAGCAGATACAACTATTAGTTCAGATAAACTAATTCCACTTAAAAAAGTGAATGATGATATTCAGATATGCTCCATCAAAAATGGGCATTCCCTGGAGATTAATAATTCAACAAATAACACATTGTTAAAAGAGAAAAAACTCTCGCTGACTGGTACAGTTCCAGGAAGGAAGTTTGCTGAGGGTCACCTGAAAGAATCATGCTCTTTACCCATGAGAACATCTGGAAATTTAGTAAATGTAAGTGGAAGGTCATCCTTTGATCTTTCAACCTCAGATAAAAAAGCTGAGAAAACTCCAGTATACGTAAATTTTTTAGACCTCGGTTCTTGTTCAAGAGTAAATCAAATGAGAGGTCAAGCTGCGTGGACTTCAGCCTCCACAGAACCTTCCCTTTCGAAAGAGAAACTGCCAGGCTTAGTGGAAAACACAAACGTTACTTCAAAAACACAGTGCCAAAATCTCGATGAGAATGTTGACAGAGGAGAAACAGGGCTGGGTAAGAAAAATGAGCATTTTTATTTTGAGGCAGGTACTGAATATACTTAGAAAAATGATCAAAGTGTGACATTTCTGCGTCTCAGTTTTGTGTAGCTGTAGAAAGATGTAAACCTCCCAGTGTTTTAGTGGGATGGCAAAAAAAAAAAAGAAAAAAAGCTGAGACTTCCCTGTTTATAATAAATGCAACTGAACAGCTTTTGTTTGCTGAATCGCCCAATTAAAAAACCACATTTCTCATATTTCTGTTCGTGGAAGAAAACCAGTGCAATGACAAACCAAATGTTTATAGGTATTTGGAACCCTAATGTAGAGCGTACTCTAGCTGGGCTCTTTGTGTATCTGAAAAGCACTGAGCAGCTTTTGGAAATGATTCAGTGCCCTTATTTTGCATAAAAATTAGAGTCGTTTTTGAACCAGTAGATGCTTCTTTGAACAGGGCTTCGAAAAAGTTTATTTTCTTTTATTGTACATCTTTAATTCATATGGACACCTAAAACCATCTGAAAGTGTTGAATGTGTGAAAGGAGAAGTCTTACGTTCTTGGAAGCTCTGGAAAACACCCCTAGCTGTTTAGAACGCTCAAGGAGCTTTTTCATTTCCTGCTCTTTGCACTTGGTGATTATTTGCTGAGCAAAGTTTTGCATATGCAAAACAGTAAATCAGAGCTTGATTCCCCTGTTTCTAAATCACTCCGAAATGTGGAAAAACTGTATTTAGATTTGTTTAGCAATAAAATTATCAGCTGGCGTACCCTTATACTTATTTAGCGAAAGCCATTTCTAAACTCAATCTGTTACCAAAGTAATAAATGTATCATCTCTATTTCTGCAGCAAACTGACTCCAATATGTTTATAGATGTTTGTCCACTTAGTAACTGGCCAGAGCAGAAGATACAAAAGTGTAAGAGGAGCTTTCCTTTCTCAAAATAAAGCTTGCACGTGGAATCTGTTCTTAATGCATACCGCAAGCTTAAAACAGCGGATGATCTCTTAGGCTTTGGTACAAGTGAAAGCCTCTACTTTCGTAGAAAAATGGAGCTTTGGGTGCTCAGGTGTTTTTCAGAAGAACTAGATCCAGGGTAAAGGGTGTTTGTGTCTGTTTGAGGCTTTGTTGTTGTAGTGTTCGGAGCTTTGCCCCTTGAATGTACAAAAAGCGGAACTGACTCCCATCCCTTAGCTTTGTGGCAGTGAGGCAGAAAGCCATCAGCCTGGTTTCTGCATGCTCTTCTGGTGTTACGAATTTAGGTTTCTTGGTAACTTCATTTCTGCACTTGGTCTCTTGCCTGCGTGTATTTGTACATTGAGGCACAGTATTTGAAGTTCAGTTTCAGCAAAGTCTTTTTCCCTAAAACAAAAGTGGTGGTAGCAAGGTAGGAGGATCCTGATTTCAGATGGTACATTATTGCTTTTAATAATGTGAATTTTGATACCTGTTTCAAGAAAATGAACATGTAGTTATGTGATGTTCTTCATGTATCTTTTCTGTAAGAACAGCACTATCTGAAGTTCTTTGCTGTGTTTCTTCTCCTTTTCTTGTCAGAAACCTTTCTGTATGCAAAGTACTGCAATTCCAAGTGATTCTGGGAGATTCTCTCAAAGGAGTTGATAGGGATTTTAATATTCCTCTACTTCCGCCCATGAGTTTCTCAGGGACGAGTATTGTCACCCTTGAATTCTAGCAATACTTCACAGTGAGGATCTTGGTCTAGGTCCCAGGTGTGCCTCTCACTCTCATCATCTGCCTAATTTAGCCAGGTCCCTACTTCAACTTGGGAATCCTACACCTCTTTTGGAGACTAGAGAGCCTTACTGGCAGGGCACCCAAGAGTCACTCTGGTATTCAGCACTGTAGCTTCCAAGATTTATTGTGTTTGGCTTTTGCTTTGTTTTGTTTTCATATATTTTCCCAAATAGCAAACCTGGAGCGGAATCCATGTGGATAGTATCCCTAAATTTATTTATTTTTACTTCATGAAGCACAAACAGTTTTAGCCATATTGGGAGACCTGGAGGTGAAGAGCATTGGTGGAAGAGTTTAGTAAATCTATCTGAGGGAATTCCTTTTGCTGCCTAACCACAACACAGTTTACTATTTATACCACTCTCATTCCCAGGGAGCAGCCACTCCACATGAATAAACGGAGGAATGAACAGGGAACAGACTCTTCCTGGCAAACACTTAGAAAACTAACACAAACTCATAACCATCTTCCTCCCAAAAGAAAGATGTCAGTATTCTTAATTAACTGTTACACAACTAGGAGGTAACATGCATTTTCAGAACAAAACAAAGATTTTACTGTTGTAGCAGTGATCAGCAGGCATCTGTGTAGTGACACAACAGCTGAATGTGAAAGGAGACTTATGTTTTGATCTTGCAAGGAACTTTATATTGGTTTCAATGGAGTCTACTAGCAATGCATTGGAGTCCACTGCAGGATTGGAGCCTTATCTTTGCTATGATTAATCTACTAATTTGCCCATCCTACCTTTAGTAGATAGCTACAGCCTGATTCCCTGAAATATTAGGTATTTATAAAAAGATTCCTCATTTAAAATGCTCTTTGTCCTTGTATTTAGAATGTGGGTTTTGTTTTCACCCTGGAATATGATGTTAGGATGGCAGTAACTATGTATTTTATCATCATTATTAGAAGGCGAGTCTTAATATTGTTTGAAAAAAAATATTCCATTAGAATATTCAGAACACATACATTTTCTGTAAATCACAGTTTGTATTTGTCAGTAACTTAGTATGTGAAAATGGTATAAAACATTTTAATCAGAATAGAAACATACCTCATCTTCAGGTACAAACATAGATGCAGAAATATGTGAAAGAAAAAATGAAGAGGGAAAAGCCTACAACAGAGATTCAGTGATTTAAACCAAAAACGTTTGATTTTTTAAGATCAGAAAAGTTTAGTAACTTTACACAATTATTGCCTAGAGACTAAATTGCAATTGTTACCATTTCCTTTTTGTCAATCAGGTTCTACCAGTTTTGACAGAGCTGCCGACACTTTGAATACCTCCAGTATCCACCGAGCCCCTAAGGGAGACCCTGGTGAAGACTGGAATGCTATAGCAAAGACTTTTTATGATTCTTCTTTTCCCACAGAACATGTAAGTCAATTAAAAATATTGCGGACCAGACCTCAGTGAGCTAATTCCACAGATATTTGTACAACTGTACGCATCTGGATACTTTAAGACTGAGTCAATCTCCAAAATAATATCAAAAGGGCAACAAGGCACCATTTTTCACAATTAAGGTTGATAGAAAGCAGCAGGAAAAAGTCACAGCATATGAATCAAACAGATGCTAACCAGTCTGTTTGGGAGGGGAGGAAGAGGGTAGTTCATTGTGTACCCTAATAGAAATCATCACCTACAGTAAAAGTAGGAGTTTAAATAAATAAAAGAAGTAGGTAAAAGTATAAAAACATTATTTCCTTTGTTACCTGATAAGAACATGTTATCTAAAGGATCTGTGAAAGAGTAAAAATTCAGCTTATCGATGAATTGGAGCCTACCCATTTATTCTATGCTGCAGTTACATGATGCCATATTTAGAGTTATCTTGTTACTTAGTCAGATGACATTACACAAACGTGTAAAAGCAGAGAATTAAAAAGAACCCTGTTGTGTTGCTGTCCCACTGTAAGATGTCATTCCAGAGGGCACTAGAAGTGGCTCACACCGCTTTTTTACATCTATGTTAGGCTGTGGAGCTTGAACAGCTGAAACTGCTGTGTTAGGATTAGACCTGATGGTAAACATACTGTTCACAACTGATGCAGTAATTTACAACTACAGTTGAGCTTCCTTTTTACAAGAGGTTCTAGAGGTATTTCTCAGGTAGTTATGGCTGTCGTCTTTGTATGAGGTTTGAGGTCAGGGTGTAGAGTGTTTTCAAATGACAAAACTGGCTGACTTCAGCAGGCTTAGTCAGCTCTCAATGCCATGAGTGTTCACATTCTCTGAAATTCCGAAGACTGATGTTTTAAATTACTCAGCTTTCCTAACGAGATTCAACTTGGGAATGACAGCAAGGGGTTTTTTTCACCAAACACACTGGTGGTATTTACTGTGTCTCTCTTGCTTTTTCTCACTGAGGTGGAGGCAGGAATTGAGTGAACTAAAATACCTAATCTACAGCTAACACAAAACTGTATTTCATTATCTGATTGTGGTTATATCTTTGTCACCTCCAAACTAAAGCTCCTTATGTGCTGGCTAAGTAAAAGCTGAGATGGATAAGAACAGAGAGCCTTGCTGGTTTGACCTCAGATTATTTTCCAAATACTTAATCTTTGAAATCTCAGCCTGGGGTATTGCAGACCACTCCTTCCCTTCTGTGATGGTATCATTCTAATACCTTCTGTTCTCAAATTTGGCATGTTTATGAGTGATATGAAAAAGCTGTTGGGAGATTAAGAATAGGCTTGGCAGTCTCTTTTGTTGCTCAGTTTGTTCTAACATGTATGATTAGAGCTAGCGCAGACTTATGCCTTCTAAAATTTGGGTAATCTCATTCAACCAAAGTAGAGTACTCTAAAAAGTGATAAAAAGAAATGCTACAGCTGCACTTAAAAGTTCTAGTAAAAATCTGAAGAAGTGTTTTAAACATGCCTGAGTACCAAGGGAAGGATGAATAAGCATCCTCAGCTCAGCTTAAGCACAAGACACCTATGCAGTCATACTATTCAGCAGTGAATGTTTTTACCCATATGTGCCCCACAGGGTTGCCATGTTATTGGCTGTAACATACACATTTCACTTGTACTTTATTGTGAGAATGCTGAGAACTTTGTTTGACAGCTAGTTAAAAAAAAAAGAAAAAGGTTTATTCTAAACATATTGTCACAGAGCTGTATTAGAATTATACATATATAATTATACATATATAGCTATATGTGTTACCTAACTGCAGTCACTTCTCCAAAGAGGTCTAAACACTTGTCCTCAGTAAAATCCAAGTAACAGGGCATGGCTTTGTTTCTCTAGAAAATTTCACTTACACATGTGGAAGACCTAATGACAGTTTTTCTCTGGGGTCATTAGCACAGGACAGATGCAGCCCTGTGTGCTGTTCCACAGAGATTTTGACTAGTGGCTTGTGATGAAGTATGATCTGTTTCTTTCTGAGGCCTTGGGAAAGAGCATGGGAAAAGTGTATGTGTACAGCCACTACAATTAACAGGTTCAGTATTTTATTGCTCCAACAAAGTTATTTCCTCACTGAAATAGAGATTAGTCATTATTCATAAAGAATATGTGACTTATACAGTCATTTGGGGCAGAGTTGCCCAATATTAAAAAATAATTGAGCATTGGGAGATGGCCGCATCTTGTGATCTCTGTAATAGAATTACTCTAGCACGCAACCAGAGCATTCAATGTCACATTACAGACCGCCAAGAACCACTGCAGCACTGGCTCCTGTGGCTTGCTTGTGCTGTTGCTGTGTGCTGGCCTCCCCCAGAGCCACAGTATTGGATTACAAGTGGAGAACTCATCATTCCAGCAAAAAAACCCGTTTCCCTACTGTGTTGCCATGTGTATTTGATTGGGATAGATACGGAGAACCTATCAGGTAGTAATTGAAACTATTAGAAGAACAAAAATATCTTCACATAAAAAAACCCAACCTATTACAGACCTTGCATTAATTAATGATCTTTGCTTTCTAATGTATACAGTAAAGCAGAGAGGGAGTTAACACTCTAAACCTCACAATTTCTGGTTTTGTTAAACAAATGCTTGCACAGCTATAGAAATGTCAATCGCAACATTAAACTCTTTAAACTAGTTACTTTGCTATCTGCATTCCAGTACAAGGTTTGGGGTTTTTTATCATATTCTTGTGTACCAAGTCTTACGTTAAGGCTTGGTTTATAGAAGTATTATTTGTCATTATCAAGCTTTCTAAATTAAAGTTGAAGCAAGCATTTCAGAATAATTGTATTTTTTTTTCAATTGACCTAATCTTTCTGTTTACATTTCCTTGCTTGCTTAATGCTCAGCAAAATCCAACAATTTAACCTTTGTACCTGAATTTCACTGGATTATTAACTGTTAAATTTGTATTCTGTCAGGTGAAAGGAGGATTTACTGCTTCACAGCACGAGAAGTCTCCTCAGGTGACTGTGGCTCCAGCAAGAAATGCACTTGGCAAGGACAGCTGTTCTAGTCATAACTCCATCATACAAAACCAAACAGAAGAAATTGAGAAATTCTTGAATTTGGAACAACTTCATTCAGCAAGGAAAAGAAAATATGAAGAAGACCAGTGAGGATTGGTAGCAGGAGATGAAAAGCATGTCTTTTAAGCATAGATAAATCACCTGCCTAAACCAGATTTGTAGAGGTATCCTATAGAATATGGTATGCATGCACTGTGCTTTCATGTTTAATACAGCATATAGACCTTGTCATGTTCAGAAATGGATGCAATCCCTGCTAATAACGTTAGCTCTCTGTTTCTGCAGTCAAATCCAGGTTGTTACGGGTTTTGCCCCGAAGTTAAGAAGTTCACAAGTTAATGTTTTAATATCCATTAAGTAAAACTAAATGAATACTTAAGAGTTCCCTTCTCCTGCTCCTCAGAAGCTTGGCTGAAATATTTTGTTTTCTCTGTCAACTGCTCATTCAGTTTTCAAGCAAGATCAGCTGCAACTGTTTCAAAATACAAAGGTTTCTACAAACACAACAACTTGCAGCAGTTATAAGTGGCAGAACAGGAAAATCTGCTTACCTTTACTGCCAAATCATTTAAATATACCTGTTGTAGTTGTTGATCCTGTATCAATAATGTCTCTTTCAACACTAAAGCATCGGATATGATTAACTTCTAACTGGTTCGTATTTTTCCTCCCATAGGATGTAAGGGAAATTTTCTCTTACTTTACAATTACTTGCACTGTCATTTTTCTGATCTCCCTGCCTCACTCCCCACACCTCTTGCAAAGACACATTCTTGCTGAAGTTTACAATATGAAGAAGAGAAGCGTGATCAGTATTGCTACTGTTAGTTGTTGTGATTTATGTAAGAAAATCAACAGAAGATGTTTTCCCATGTTTGTTTTATTGCCTGTTTTCCTGTTGCAGTTTAGAATACTTAGCTCCCTTAAACCAGCTGCAGACATCTCGGAGACATTCACAAATTATCAAAATTTTGAAGAAATTTCATGTATAGTGACACTAGTAGGTCAAAAAAAAAAAGTTTTTAGGTGTCTGAGAGACTGAGGAGACTGTTTTTCACTTGATTCAAGTTTTGCTTCCAGGTGTTTAGAGTGTCATACAATTGCTGCCACTGCTGCTTTCCAAAGGTCCGATGTGTGCTGTGACTAAAGAAGTAAAACAAAATTGGCAGATGATTACTAGATGTCATAATCACCTAATAATTCTTTTATAGCACTACTTTACCCTCACAAGCAAATAGGAAAATTTTTATTTTCCCTAAATAAAAGGGCTCCACTTAACCAGTTAAGAGAATCCTTTAGCCTTCCCAAATATTTAAAGCAGCAACAGTCATTGGTATTCTTGTCACTATTAGGTCATTAAATGAAATGTGCTGGAAAGTAGGGCTCTTTCATTAAATAAGCTAATCGCATTCAGTGTGAGCTTCAATAAAATTATGATAAATAGCAACTATTTAACTACCAGCAACTGATAGGAACAACACCTTGCTTCTGGTTAAAATATTCTACAAATGTAAGTGAAATAATTAGAACACAGTAAGTTCTGCAAAATGCTATGAAGAATGAAGTCTTACCTGACAACTACTTTCCTCTGTGTCTGATCGATTTTGCAGTATACCATCTTCGTCTTTACAGCTGCAAAAAAGCAATGCTGTTTTGAGCAACGTTTTCAAGATAGATAGTGCAAAGGTATTAAACTGCATAAACCCCGTTCAAAATTAGATCAATACAAAGATGAAACCACAGCAGTTCATTTAATACAGGTTTGCTGTGGGTTTTACCAGTCAAGTAGGCAAAAAGCAAAACGATGTAACAAGATGAAGGCTATGCATGAACCCTATTACTTGTTGCCTATCTATTACAGCACTATCCTAGTACAGTTTTTATCAACGTCTTTCCCCGACAAACACATCCTGTTTTAATGACAGCAAACAGAACCAGATAACAAACCTGCAAACAAGTTATTAGTTCTATAAAAAATTACATGAAATACAGTTCCTGTCACTGGTAAGAGAACCACTGTTTAAGAGACAGCAGTTAGGCACATTTTTGAGCACAGAGTTTTGCAGGATATCTTGTAACAACTGCAGAAATTAAATATTAGTATTTTCCTGAATATTTAACATTAGCTGAGAAGAGTAAAAAAGGTATTGTTCCATTAGCACGGGGTAAGTTATGGTACTACGGTTCTTACCATCAATAACAAATGCTTCTACATCATCAGCTCCAATCTGCAGTTCCTGTTGCATTGTGTCAAATGATATTTCTTTATTCTCTACAGCCATTCCCATGAAAGTAAGTAGCCTCATTTTTGCCATATTGTGTTCGTGCAACAAGCCTGTGTAAAAGTGTGGACAGCTTATGAATTGTAACTCAGAAACTCATTAATTTGTTTTCTGTGTTATTCTTACAATACATGCTTCCAATAATTTAAAATTTATGTCACAGCAAGAAAATATTCCATCTGTCCTTATTAATGTTTTTTGAGGTATAAAATCAATTCCTGCATCTTCGTTGTGCTCTGCTAAAACAGGTAGTTTAGTTGCGAAATCACCAAAACTCAGCTGTTGTCAGTAAAACATCATAAATATCTAGAAAAGCGAAGCACAGAGATTTTTTTAAACGTTGTTAAAAACATCACCTGAGCAGAATTTTAGGTGGTGAGGGTGCAAGTGAATGTCTCAGTTTATCTGGAAGAACAGCAATGCAAGAACAAGTGAAACAAGTGAAAAATCCGTGACTGGTAATGTCAAAACCTTCTTACAGCCTCACCCTGTGTTCTCATGTAGTTGCTTGAAAATAAACCTCTCTCTCTAATGGTTTAGCAACGTAACGTTTTTGTGCCAGAGAATGTGTTTTGGCACCAACTAACTTAACTGTTTATACCACGGCAAAAAACCATCACGAGTCACATGTGTGCTTACAGCATCTAGCATGGCAACAAAGTGCTCTTCGAGAGTAGAGGAAGAGTTATTAAAAGTTAGGTTACATCTTTTACATGACTGTACGAATGGCAACGCAAGGCACTGAGTCAAAGGCCTGCACACCTCAGAGGCTGTCTTCCTGAAAAGAAACCTATGTGAACAAAGTTGAGACATTCAGATGAACCAAGGCATTCCTTAATCCAACCTCTGTGTGGTACCAACGACGATTATGGGAAAGTTTCTTTAAAATGAAGGTCAAACATTTTGTTTCTGAATGACATTATAAACATTCACATTGCTTCAGTAAACATTTAAGTTTGGAATTTATAACATCCATATGCTAACAGGAAAGCCCATTAGTGCAGGACATCATGTTGTGTTAATTAGCTATAATTATGATGCAGGTTCCCTATTTGGCACTGATTCAACAAAAATGCGATCACCATAATTCATACGAATGAGGAGCACCAGCAACTATACCTAACTGGGTTTAATGGAACTCTACAAGCATCAAAAAATCAATTAGCACGCATTAACCCTAATTAACAAATGCAAATGAGATGCTGATTAACTTTCCCGAAAAAGACTGCAGATTAAATGTGGCCATGTTAGGGCGAGTCAGTTGACACAGACAATGCTACTGCTGGCCTAAGTTGTCAGCATTAATAAAACAACAAATGGTCACAAACGGATGCCACCTGTAGGAGCCTTCTCTGCACAGCTTGGTTAGACTAGTCCTAATCCAGAGAAGGTCAGAACTAAAGATGATGCTGCCACTGGCACTAAAATCCCATTATTTATACCATTTATTTTAAAGCCCAATATATTGGCAAGTTACTAAAACAGAAAAATCAAAATAATGATCTTTAAAGCATGGTTAAAAATCTATTTGTTTCTGGCAACAGATCACAAGTGCCCTGAAGAATTTTGGAATGCCCCATCTAATAATTGTATCGTTCCTACAGCAAACTGCCCTTGTTTTTCAAAGGCATGGCTGAAGCACTCAGACCAAGTTCCTAGCATTCGGGTTTTCGCCGTCTCAGAATGCCCACCTTGTCCACTGCTCAAAGACATTCAGAATTTTTTGAGTGCAACATTAAGCAGGTGAGAAATCAAGACAATTGTATGTAAGGCTCTCAAAACAGTTGAGTTTCAAAGTTTCAAGACAGTTACACAGATACTGAACGGGTTGTACTCAGATTATGTGAATCCTAGAGGTACTGAAATTGCCCACAATGTTAATTCCCAGAGGTGAACACAGATACAGGGAGGCAAAGCAAAAGAAATAATGACTTTGGTACACTGTATGATTAATACCAACTATATATGTAATTAACCTCCCGTAACTTTATTCAAATGTTACCGTAACAGCATTTTCAGCAAATACTTCTGTGCACAAATAACATAAGCCATTTCAATACATAAAAATAATTACAGTACAAACCCCACTTTCCGCTAAGAAAGAAGCGTGGAAGATGTCTACCCAACTAATGTGCAAATACGTATGACAAAAGGCATGCTTATTCTACATACATATTTACAAACTACCACAAACTTGCTGCTGGTTTTATCCATGGAAAATCACATTGGCAGTTCCATCATTTTAATACCCAAAGTACCAGCATTTTAAAGCTTTGAGGGTAATTATTCTCAAAATTATACCACACTCCATTAAACAAAATAATACTTCCTTTTAAAGGCTGCACTAAACTCTGTTTTAGCAAAACTACACCTTTCCCTAAGTGCATTCAGCCAGTGTTGAAGTGTCATTTCAAAATCAAAGTTATAAAAACAAAACAGGAAAAAACCCAACCCCAACCCTGATTTTTATGGAAACATTCATTCATTACCAATATGTCAAAACCTGAATGCAGTAATAAAAAAAATCTGCATCATTGAGCAATTTCTGCATTGTCACTGACCCCTGTCCTAAAAAGCTGGAATATAAAAAACGTAATTTTAATGCACGCAATAGCTTATGAACCAGTGCTCCTTTGAAACAGTCAATTACACATCAACGGGGGAGTGTCAAAGTGTTAATTACTACTCCTTTTTTCCACAGTGTGTAAATAAAGAGGGTGCTGACATTAACATTCCATCACATCGCTTCATGTGATGAAACAAATTAACCGGGACAGACTGTGGCTTGCTAGCTCTAATGCATCAGCA